GCGGCTGATCTGCCCGGCAACAGACCCAAGAACCGCTACACCAACATCCTGCCCTGTGAGAAGCCCTGCCCACTGTAGTCATAGCAACGCTCTTCTGATTGGCCCACTTTCACAGTTAAACTAAAACTATTCAAAAGTGTCGTTATTTGAAACGAAATAAATGTGAACCGAAATCATATATTTACCATTTTAAATAAACATTTCTCATTTTCATCTAGTTTATTTAACTTGATGTTGAACTGATCAAAACTAAAATAAAAATGAATAAAAATGACCAAAAAAATACGAAACTAAAATTAACATGAGAACAGAAATAATATCTAATAACCTTATTAAATCTAATAAAAATATTAACAAAACCGGTAATACTTTACAATAAGGTTTCAATTTTTTAACATTAATTAACTATATATTTTTATGCATTTATTAATCTTAGTTCAAGACTTACTAATACATTATTAAAATTTAAAGTTGTATCTGTTAACATTAGTTAATGTAAAAGATTTATAAAGATAAAGATTAAAGATTAATAAATGCCGCTTCATGTTAAAAAAAAAAAGTTAATTATAATAATAATAATTTTTGTCAAATAAAAATCAGTTGCAATGCAGAACACACACAGAAATGAAGGAGACCAAATGCAAATACAGTTATAAATGTGGGTCTTTTTTAAAGTTAATTTTGCATGAAAAGTAATTTCATAAAAACCCATTTTTTATAAATGTTAAAAATACTATAAATCCTCCCAAAACTGCACAAATGTAGAGGAAAAACATTAATAAAATGAGTGATATTACATTTGTTTAGAATTATAAAATGATTTACTATAGTCTTTAAATATGATGTCCTTTATTATTATAAATATATAGTATCAGATTTTTTACATATATTTATTCCAAATATATATGAAAATAGTGGCCAGTGGATGGTTTGAAGTTAAATTTTTTTTAGAGAGGTTCTTACTAAAGATCAGCTTCTCTCAGGAGAATGAGTGATTATTATATTCATCCTGAATGTTTGTTTGGTCACAGATGATTTCAGTCGGGTGAAGCTGATCTCTCTGCACAACGATGAAGGCTCTGATTACATCAATGCAAACTATATTCCTGTGAGTAGCTCGTCAGTATCAGCGATTAGAGTCGAGTCGTTCACTGGTTACTGGGTGTATTATTTGTGTGGTGGTGTGTGTTCAGGGTTATAACTCTACGCACGAGTTCATCGCCACGCAGGGGCCGCTGCCCGAGACCAGGAATGATTTCTGGAGGATGGTCCTGCAGCAGAAGTCTCACATCGTCGTCATGCTGACCCAGTGTAACGAGCGCAGGAGGGTCAGTTCCCACGGCAACCGCTCCGTTACGGCTGTGACATCACACAGAGATGGCCAGATGTTAACGAGAGCATGTGCTTCCCGTGCAGGTGAAGTGTGACCACTACTGGCCGTTCACCGAGGAGCCTGTTGCATACGGAGAGATTACGGTCGAGATGCTGTCGGAGACCGACTCGCCCGAGTGGACCGTCAGAAACTTCAGACTGGGATACGTGAGGAACACAACTAACCATAACCCTGGATGATGGATGGGTGGATGGATGATAGATGGATGGATAAATGGATGATGGATGGATGGATGGATGGGTGGGTGGATGGATAAATGGATGATGGATGGATGGATGGATGGGTGGGTGGATAAATGGATGATGGATAGATGGACGATGGATGATGGATGATGGATGGGTGGGTGGGTGGATGGAAGGATGGATGATAGATGGATGGGTGGATGGATAAATGGATGATGGATGGGTGGGTGGGTGAATGGAAGGATGGATGGATAAATGATTGGATGATGATGGATAGATGGATGGATGGATGAAAAGATACATGGGTGGATGGATACTTGGGTAGATTGATGGATGGATGGATACATAGGTAGATGGATGGGTGGATGGATGGGTGGATGGATAAATGGATGATGGATGGGTGGATGGATGGATGGGTGGATGATGGATGGATGGATGGATATATAGACAGATGTAGAGAAGAGAGTTATCAGTATGCTGCTGTTGTTTCTGTCTGATGTTCTGTGTGTTTCTGATTCTGCAGGCTGATGAAACTCAAGACGTTCTGCACTTTAATTACACCTCGTGGCCTGATCACGGCGTGCCGACAGTCAACGCCATTGAGAGCATCTTACAGTTCGTTCAGATCGTACGGCAGCAGGTCAGCAGGACCAAAGGACCCATCGTGGTCCACTGCAGGTGAGTCTCTGTTAGTGTGTGAGAGTCTGTGCTACAGGAGTCATTCCGGCTCACTGGACTCCAGTTACAGTGCCCGGAATCACTGCAGCTCACTGCCATCTATTGATTTCCTGCTTGTGGTTTTGCTTCAGCTCTTCACTAATGTTACAGTGTGATGATGGAACAGACACTGATGTGTGTGTGTGTGTCAGTGCTGGAGTGGGCCGGACCGGCACCTTCATCGCTCTGGACCGGCTGATGCAGCACATTCAGGAACACGAGTATGTGGATGTCCTGGGCCTGGTGTCGGACATGCGCTCGCACCGGCTCTCCATGGTCCAAACCGAGGTACAGAACCTGAACCAGATCCAGAACCAAAAACTGAACCAGATACAGAACCAAAAACTGAACCAAACCCTGAATCAGATCCAGAACCAAAAACGGAACCAGATCCAGAACCTGAATCAGATCCAGAACCAAAAACTGGACCAGATTCAGAACCTGAACCAGATCCAGAACAAAAAACTGGACCAGATTCAGAACCTGAATCAGATCCAGAACCTGAACCAGATCCAGAACAAAAAAACTGAACCAGAACCTGAATCAGATCCAGAACCAAAAACTGAAGCAGATCCAGAACCTGAATCAGATCCAGCACCAAAAACTGAACCAGGGACCGGACTCATGAATAACACTCTTTTGAACTGCTGTTTTCTTTTAGAAAAATGTTAAGAATACCTTGTATTTCCAAAAATATACCTTAAGAATGTTCTTCTGTTTTTCTTAAGATTGTTCTTAAGACAAAACTGAATAATAATTCAAATTCTTCAAAACAATCTTCTTAAAAATCATTATAAATAGCCTCTTAAAGTTAGAATAACATCCAACTTGTCTTAAATCCTCAAATGTGAGATGAAATTGCTGTAATTAAACATAACAACATAACACTAGATACATATTTCTGCTACTAGTGATGATGATGGAAAATGCAGTGCTTACAGCTTCTTGGAAAGCTTGTTTCCACCACCGGATAAAAAGATACATTTGACTTTTTATCTCACAATTCTGAACTTTTTTCTCACAATTTATAATTGCAAGAAAAAAGTCAGAATTGTGAGATTAAAAGTCTTAATTAAATGTTTTATTTATTAATCTGTGGTAGAAATGAAAAAACTGAATTGCAAGATATAAAGTCAGAATACTGATATAAACTCAGAATTGTTAGATATAAAGTTAAAATAGCAGAAATTGGATTCCATTTGAATCCAGCCCTGGAACGGTATTCATGTGTGTGTGTGTGTGTGTGTGTGTGTGTGTGTCTGTGTGTGTGTGTCTGTGTGTGTGTGTGTGCGAGTGCAGGAGCAGTACGTGTTCATCCATCAGTGTGTCCTCCTCATGTGGAAGAAGAAGAAGCAGCAAACGCACACGAGCGACGTCATCTACGAGAACGTCAGCAAGTCCTAATGAAGTGAGACCTCCAAATTAAGATTTTCCTGTGAAAAATCAGCCGATCCTGAGCAGTGTCTGTGTTATGAATTAGATTTTATTTTTATATTTTCCATTTTATTTTAAAGTTTTAATAATTGTATTGTGTTTTTCTGAATTTTCTTCTATATGTCTACAGTTTCTATTAATTTAGATTTCACTTTTAGTGTTATTTTAGTACATCAAGTTAAATTAAATGAAAGTGAACATTGCTGCCTGGGCATCTAGCTGAAAAAAAAGTTACGTTTTTATTAGGGATGCTTATTATTGTTAATTTTCCCAGATGGATGGGTGGATGGATGGATAGATGGATGGGGGGATGGATGGATGGATGGGTGGATAGATGGATGGATGGATGGATGGATAGATGGGTGGATGGGTGGGTG